AGCGGGTTAGGAGCGAAAAAGGAATAGTTTAGGGGCGATTTGGGAGGGGGCGAAATTAGATGGGGCGATGTGGGAAGACACCGCAATGTCGTACAGGTCATGTTCATCTAACCTAAACACCCAATCGCACGCTGTGGATGGGTCCAATAGTTATTAAAAAGTGTTTTGAGGGAAAGGGAGGCGAGGGGACTTACTATTTCTAGTCTGAAGCCTTCGTTTTTCTTTTTAAGTTATGTATTATGCCATTACATACTAGTGTAATATCAAAAAAGTGCATTTATTCATATTACAAACCTAATTGATGATCAAGATTTGCATTTTGTTTTATTGATTTACAAAGGCTATTCAAAGGTTATCTAATTAATTCACTTAAACTGTAAGCTACTAATGACTTCTTTGACTGATAGAACGAACAAATAAGAAGTTCAAGGATTATCAGTATTTATTAGAATGAAATTACTGTGAGGTTTCAGTAGGTTAGGTTATGTCATAATCTGAGATCAGTCCTTTTACCTCAACTCAATAATTACGATCTGTTACATGATGCTTCTGATACGAGTTACCAAGTCCTGATTTGTTAATGTTACATTCCCCAAAGACAACACAGCTAAAAACACATTGTAATGTTCATTAATGTCTTTTTAAAAGTTTCTAGCTTCTGCAAGGCATTATGCTATTTAAAGGAATACTATATACGTCTTAGAATGAACAATATGCAATTAAATATTGAAAAACGCTTAATATTAAGATTTTAAAAGTGTTTTTCAATTATTACTTAGTTTTATGAATTTTCCAATTTAACAGATTTTACAGTGATTCTGTTGTAACTTTATGACACTGATGAATATATACTCATATTGACCATTCTTGAGAACTTAGTAGTATCACTTTAAAAAACTAAAAAGTCTAGTTTCTGCTTGATATAGGTATATCAGTAACAAAACAACAGTATATTCTAGTTTCTACTTGAGGTATTCAGTAACAAAACAACAATATGCTTTAGTTTCTACTTGACATTATGATATAGGTATTTCAGTCACCAAACAACAATATGTTCTAGTTTCTGCTTGACATTATGATATAGGTATTTCAGTCACCAAACAACAATATGTTCTAGTTTCTACTTGACATTATGATATAGGTATTTCAGTCACCAAACAACAATATGTTCTAGTTTCTGCTTGACATTATGATATAGGTATTTCAGTAACAAAACAACAATATGCTTTAGTTTCTACTTGACATTATGATATAGGTATTTCAGTCACCAAACAACAATATGTTCTAGTTTCTGCTTGACATTATGATATAGGTATTTCAGTCACCAAACAACAATATGTTCTAGTTTCTGCTTGACATTATGATATAGGTATTTCAGTCACCAAACAACAATATGTTCTAGTTTCTGCTTGACATTATGATATAGGTATTTCAGTCACCAAACAACAATATGTTCTAGTTTCTGCTTGACATTATGATATAGGTATTTCAGTCACCAAACAACAATATGTTCTAGTTTCTGCTTGACATTATGATATAGGTATTTCAGTCACCAAACAACAATATGTTCTAGTTTCTGCTTGAGATTATGATATAGGTTTTCAGTAACAAACAGTATATTCTAGTTTTTGCTGGACATAATGATGTAGGTTTTCAATAACAAAACAACAGTATGTTCTAGTTTCCGCTTGACATTGTGATATAGGTATTCAGTAACAAAACAACAATATGCTCTAGATTCTGCTTGACATGATAGTCTAGTAAACAAACAATGGTATGTTCAGACTGATATAGGATACTTATATATTGTCTAGTTTATGATTAAGATATATTTGCCCGAAGCCACATAAAGAACTACTGGAGTTTTAATCTGTAGATATATAACGTTATGAATTCCATACTGTTTATTACAGGATTCTGTCAACAATGTAACATTTTGTAATTATCTCGAAAAAAAAATTGCCTCAACGTTACATTAGTCACGCCTTTCTGATGGAATAAATATACCAAGTACTAACGATCCGAACCGCAAAACGAAACCCGAAATAAGAACAACATATTGGCGAAACCTAGTAGCAGCTAATGAACTACATTATTCAAATGAGGAAGTATATCGATCATAAGTGAAAAATTAATTAATACTGAAAAATGGTATCAGGTGTCTGCAAACATGACAAATAGGAACGTACAAACAAAAATAGTGACCTGACTGATGGTTACGTTAAATCGACACGGTTGTTGTTTAATCAAACAGAGTTAAAAATAGCGCTGATTTTATCAGATGGTTGCTGGTGTAAATCAGTTGACAATTATAATAAAGAAATAGTTGCTTCTTCTTTCAATCCATTTTATGTTAGACCAAGGGCATGTTTTAGTCGCCAACTAGACATGATACTAAATTAACTTCAATATTTGAAGAAAGTATAGTTAGTTATTAGGAAATTCAGAATGGATAAATTGGTCTCAAAGTATTTTAAACATGTGAGGCATGTCAGTATTATTACCATGCTTATTTGGAATAATCAGATTAATCTATAATAGGTTATAAGGAAATAGAGAGAGACCTCTTGTTTCTGTCTGAGTAAATTACAAAATATAGGGTGTTTTTATAAGCCAAAGATACGAAAAACTCTGATGTAACGACCATTTCTTTCCATTTGCGATTTAGTAATTTCATTTGCCTTTGATAATTTGATAAACGGTGTTCCACATCTGACGCCCTCTACAATTTCTGTGTTTAACACAATTACATTCAATGGAAATGCACAATGATTTTGTGTGGTTCTTATTTTTTTTAACTTAATACTGCGCAAGATTCAGAAAAAAACGAATCAACATTGCAGTAAGCCATTTCTAAAAATTTGCTGAATGAAGATTTCAATTTAGTACAAGTATCGAAATAGATGGAGTCAATTTAATGTTTTCTTAGATTCTTTTTTTTAACACTTTTGGCTTTCAAGGAATCGATAGACGTTGAAATAAATCTGTTCACTACACATTATCACAATCTCCTCACTGCTGTTGGTTAGATTTCAGTCAACATTGTAAATTGTTAGAATAGGAAATGTAACATGAAATAGAGAAACACTTAGTCTCTATAAATACGTGTTAGTCAAACATAAAAAATTAGCTAAAAATTTATTGGTTAAAATACTGGGTTTAAAGTTTATATTGAAGGCTATTGTAAAAGCTGAAATGAGGATGCATTTTAAACATGTCAATCGTTTTTAAACATCCAACAATTCTAAGCTGTAGTTACTTTTGCTTTTGAAAGTAGTATCATGCTCTAATTTCTTGTTCAAATAATTTGTAATGCAAACTGCCTTCGTTTATTGAAGTTATCGAGAAGAGAAGAAAACAAATACTTTTCTCTTAATGGTCTTCCAAATAATGTAAGCTCCGTTTACTTGTCAAATATCACTGCAGTCAGGTGGGTAGATGTGGTTGCGTAACCTTTCCCTCATTAATAAAACCGTCGTAGACAAACAGTTTACTGATGCCATTTATCTGTATCAATAATGAAATATTAGTATCTCTACTTGTTTACGTCTCCATGTCAATGTTTATAAAATAATGCGGTAAATATATTAATGGTCGTATCATAGAGGGTACCATTGAAACCTCTTACACTTAAAATATGATATTTAATAACCCTATAAGCTTTTAGCTTCTGGGCCAAAGTCCAAAGGTATTATTAAAGTTAAGATCCATTATTAAAGTCTGTACTGTAAATGGAGATGGAATCAGGTCATTTTAATTAGACACATGATACACAAGAGTTTCTCAACCCAGCACCCTTTCATGGAGTCCACACAGTAAAAATGAACATTTTGTATACTAGCCATATACTCATCTTTGTAGAATTGTTCGTCCCCACGCCATATCTTTAGTATAGCTTGTCTTTGGTGCTAGAGTTGTGCCAACTGGTGTGAATAATAGCCAATATTTATTGTGTAACAAAGAAGTAAGTGACGGTTTTCTCTGGGGATGAAATCCGGAACACCAGCTGTTAGTTCGAGAGAATCGCAAAGAGCAGGCGGATCTTTACACAACGAATGCCATTGAATTCATGTATTTGGAACAGTGCAATGCTTTTGTTAGCAGATCAGAAATTCTGGCATAAATGCTTCTCAAAGGTCGTTCATGACAGCTATAAATGCTAAAATACTCAAAAAATGTTAAAATCTTACGAGCTGTCATAAATTGCTTGTGAATTATTTTAGAAATATTATATTTTGTAATAACTGTAAAATAATGTAAATGTGAAGATAAAAATCATTCCAATATTTATTGATATGACTCGAATTACAGACTTATATTACTCATTCTGTTTCAACAAAATCGATATTCAACCAATATATTGTAGTAAATAATGATCTAAATTTCTTTCCCAGATGTAGAATCAAATCTACGGGAATTTTGATGATGAAGACAAAATATTAAAGAGAACAATTTCGCAAGCATATATTGGGATTCTCTTTTCCCAGTATTATTTGAGCAGATTTTTAGACCAGTATCTGTTTTTTTTTTTACATTTTGAAAAATTTGATGCAACTTCTCGTTGGAGGAGTCCACTACTATACTACCTTTACTTCCGTTTTTGCAATTTTTAAGGAATTATGAATGTATTTAAAATACACAATCAGAAGGCATTCCAGACATCTTTACAAAAAAGCCACGAAAACAGTACAAGCTTGCAGGAGATTAAAATACTAGTATATATTACTTGTTTCAAAGTTCTAAAACAATAACTAAAACTGTAATACAAAAGAAATTATTTATTCTAACACCTGGTAATCTATAAGTTCGTCGAGGTTTAAGGAGATAATTTCTAAATTCACCTTTATACGCTCAATACTAAGGGAAATATTTTCTCCCATAAAACCCAGAAATATATGTAACTTACATAGGTATCAAACGTTGATTTCAAAAGCAAAAGATTAGACAATTGACATAATAGAATTCAAAATTCACAAATTTGATATAGAAATTGGTCTTACCTGGTATTTCAACAGAAGGTCGTTTTCCAGTTGGTGAAGCCGGTTCTGATCCACCACCAACATTATTCTCATCCCATCGTCCATCATGTCGTCTACCCGAGGGCGGTGTTCCTTGGGATGGCACAGTAAATGGTATCTGTTTCAAACTGCAAGGCAGAACCAATAATGAATTGTAGCGGCGAAGCATTCTCTCTGCTATCATTGTGTGAGACATTGATAAAACGTTTTATAAGGCAAGAGTGAATATCTAATCTTGTTAAGCTAAGACGTAGAAAAACAGACCACGTTCATGAAGGAATGTAAGTGGAAGGTTAGTGTCTCTGTCCAAAAGAACTCAACTTTTATGGAGTTAAAAGTAACAGTTTGTATTCGCAAGTTCGGAATATCCGTTCTCTCTAGCAAACACTAACAACACCGTTAATAAAGCAAATATATATGTTAATATGGCATATAACAATTAATACATAAAAGAATCTGAAAAAGTGGTAGCAATGCTGACGGAAGCACTAAAAAAGCTATAAAAAAATATAACTGCCGTTATCACAGATGTATTAATAAGGCTTATCTTGGCATGCTTGTGGAATCCGAAATAAGTTGTCACATTAAGTGCATGGCAAACACAAATAGATCTAAAAGGTTCGGTCTTCCTTTTCCGCAAGTTTTATTTCGCAACAGACTTTAACAGTTAAATTAATACTTAAAGCTCAAAAACCATGAAGTAATGTAAATTCCACTTATTTGTCCATGGTTATGTTAAAAACCTCTGCAAAGAAATTAAATAAAGATGCTCCATGCAACTCTTTAAGGCATTAAATGTGAAGGATAACAAGGTATACACTCGAGTTATCTTTTAAGTAGCACCTGAAATCCGCAATTCCTGTCACAAGATGATTCAATTAAACAGAAAAGAGTCAAGAAGTGAGGAAGTAAAGTCAAATCCAGATTGAAATTAATCCTACTATGTTTCCCACTACTTCGCCGTTAATCCGGATAATCAAGGGAGAGGATAAGTGAACTAATCAATGCGTTGAACAAAGTAAGTAACAAATTGTGGGAAGGAATCGATACTTCGGTACAAGAGTGTGATTGTTAGCTTATGTTCTGTGTTGAACCGTGATTGGCTAAATTACACTATGATTGGCGATATTACTATTGTGATTTGACTTGAAAAATTGTCTCGTCGCTAATATTCAACAATTTTGCTTTATGAGAAATGTCAGAGTCATCAACACGCGCGCATCTCTAATTTTTCATTCACCTTCAGCTATATAACTATCTCAATTAGTTTCACTGTCAGAAATTCCAACAAGAGAAGAGTCGGTAATATAGAATATATTTCCACGTGAAATGGTGGAACACCTCTTCTGTATTCCTTAACCCCATTGATTCGGATTCTGAAAATTGATATAATTTTGCCCAAACCTAGGTGTTGTAATTGCTGCAATGCTCCATTTTTAATACAGATTGTGTCTAAGACTTCACAACAAGAACAAGTGAAGTTAGTGACATTCGGTCAAGACTGGCGTTAAAGTGTGAATGAAGTCAATATGTGATCAAGACGCTGTTTCACTCCAGTGACTTATAAAAGACAGTATTTAAAGGGATTCCACAGAGGTTTACTAAAATTTGTATGTGTATCGGGGACACTGACAACAAATATGTGCATCCTTTCAATCTTCAGAAACGTCTATGCAATTCGACTTAAACTGGGCGTTTTATGACCAGATTATAGAAAAGTCTGGATAATATTCGTTGCTTTTGCGACAGTATCGTTATTAATACCAAGGTTCGGTAAAATTGCATAAACCACAGGCGTCTGATGGAAAGTTTCAATGGTATAACTGTTCCCAGATACAGATAGAAATTTTAGAAAACCTCTTTACAATAAGAGTATTTTATACGAGTTTGAATAAAATGTGTGATATTCAGCTGACACATTACTTTTCCTTACTCGGTTCAGTTTATTCTGTGAACCTGAAGACTTTCAGTACATTATTGGAATTCCACTGTTAAACATGTTATAGCATATTGATATATTTAAACCACAGATGCGTCAATATTCATCTCGATATTCTAGGTTGGTCTAAACCAAGAAGATTGTGGATTATGTCAAAGTTCGAAATATTCTTATACGAATATTTATAGAATATAAGATATTATTATACAATTATTTATAGAATATAAGATATTATTATACAATTATTTATAGAATATAAGATATTATTATACAATTATTTATAGAATATAAGATATTATTATACAATTATTTATAGAATATAAGATATTATTATACAATTATTTATAGAATATAAGATATTAATATACAATTATGTATAGAATATAAGATATTATTATACAATTATTTATGGAAAGTAAGATACGATAACAAATGCGTATAAGGTTTACAAGAATAATGCCAGTGACGACACCAGGCGGAAATCGTTCATCTATATATTTCTGGTGAAAACTGACACAAGCGACAGGTTTACAAACGAGAGTTTCTAATTAAAGTGGTATTTATCTTGGTGAAATAGAGGACTTAAATCTAAGACCAACCAACTTGAATAAAATGTCGATTTATATGCGACAGATTTGAGATGTCTGCCTGGGGGTTATATCTTATTTATAAGATCGGCATAACTAAGAGTTAGACAAATTCCATTACTATAGAATATATTACAATTAAACATCAATTATTAAACGGACCTTTTATTTCTGAAACGTTTAGCAATCCGCTCATTTGATAAAACCTATCACTCACACGCCATATTGTCCTTAACTCGATATAGATTATGGTAATAATGGTGTACAAAACGTGGTGCAATGAAGATTGAAATACGTCTGCCCAGGAATCTTCTCTAATGCTTTAGCAGGTAATGAAGATTTACTAGCATTGAATTTCTTAAAATAATGCACATTAAAATATTACTGTAGGAGCACGAACGTCAATGTAACATCCTCACACTTCGGATCACTCAAACTGTAAATGGATAGAGGACTGACAGAGGAAAGATTCCATGTTGTATAGATATTACCGAATTCTATTTGACTGCTTGATCAAAGATTACCACATACATTATCACAACCTTAAATGTAACAACATCATCATTTGGCTATTTACAATGCCCCTTTCCATTTGAAATAAAGGTAAAAATTGTCTCGCTCAATTAGTAAGATAATGGATCACGTCCAAATTCAGTTTTGCGTGCATATGGCAAAAAAAAATGTTTGTTAAAATCGTATACTTTATACACACAATTTAGGTGTTATACTGTTTCTGTCTTCGTTTTCTCCGAGGAGATATTGGCCATACATTGTCATATAAAACTAAATATTGATTTGAGATCAAGTTGGTCCTACATTGCTTATTAATTTAATCTATTTTGGTAGCCATCTTAATGTGGTACGATTCGAATTTCGGCCAAATAACCATATAAAGTTTTTCTCCCCTCAATAACATGAATGTCTGATATTGGTTCCACAGGTAGAATAATTAAAATAGCTTGAGGCACTAATAATAAGCAGGTCATTAAACCGTAAACTACGGTATAATATTGCACAGAATGAATGATTACAAGTATTGAGTTAATTAATAACACTTCACACGAATCTGTCAAATTAAATTCAGATAAAACATACAAGCTCGGAGAATTTCTCAATTGTGGAAGCAGAAACACAACTATTTTTGATATCAGCAAAGTGGAATGTTCGTCAAGAATTAGGTTTCAGCAATGGTTTTAAGATTTTGAATAAGAATCTTCATGAAAATGTCGGGGTGATAAAGCCATTCACACCGTGGCATTGGGTGGTATAACTTAATCCACATTTCGCGCAATGACCTACTAGCAGGATGTTGAATTGATTTTAAAAAACATTCCCAGAGTGACAGCGGGTGTTACGGTCTAACTTGAATGATATAAGATTGGGAATTAATCTGTCAATCTGCATTGGAGATTTGACAAGTACGTGTACCTCAGCACATAAAGCAATTTAAAACAACGAAATATACAAGAAAAGTTTTTGTATTCTACAAAGCCGGAATATTGGGACACATCTAGAATAACATGTCCATGTCCAAAAGAGATCACGAAATCAATTCTTCAGAGCAATAATGCAATGTGTTTTATTATAGAAAAAGTAACAATTCCAACTGAAACCTAATAACCGTCTATTCTGCTTACAGCTAATGACATTGAATGGAAATGGACTTAATGAAAATATAATTATTAGTATCCGTCCGTTAATATTATTGGAAATAAAACTAAGTATTATTAATGTAAGTAAAATGAAATTAGAATCACGCCATTTACATTCCATGTAAATATAAGGAGGTTGTCTTCAGCATTAAAAGTACTTGTAATCCTTTTAATACACCATACACCACAGAGGCATTTCGTTGTCTGATATTTGTTTTTCATGCTGATAAATCTCATTTCAACGATAATGTTTCTAATGAGTATCGTCTAGTTCGTCTATATATCACCGAAGCGTACCTATTGAGCTGACCAAAGTTAGCAGTTCCTGGAGTGCTTAAAATATTGCCGAAATTGAGATGTCATTTGGTGACGAACGCATCTGTTTAATGTTAATAGTCAAGTCCACTAGTTGTCTAGTTCGGATGACCAATAAACTGAGGATCAACCCAACTTGTTCTGAATCCAAGTGGAGAAAGTTATCCAGTTAAGGCCAAATTGATTGCTTTCATTGGCTTTCAGTAAGGCGCACAATTTAATTTTTAACCGACCATTAGTGCATGCGACATGCAATTGATTTGTTAAAACACTAAACATGTATTTAATATCTAACCAAGATCATTTCCTAATATCATTTTATAAGGAGTTAAGTAGACAATTATACAGAAAGAGTAATAATTATTATGCTTATTTCTTATTCACAGAATAATTTTCGTGTTATAAAGTCGAATGAATATGACTCATAGATTTTAATCGAGGTATTTTATGACATAAGCATTTAAATATGGAAGCAAAGCTTGGGCAAAATAGGCTTTGCAGGTTACCTTCACAGTTTTGTGCAGAAACAGGGCAACTGTAACTGTCTCTGGATTAAAAAATGGATTCTGTTCTGATTCATTAAGTATTTTCAATAAGCCAGCAGTTTTATTCCAAAAATCCCTTTTAATGACATTTGCAAGAGTAAACTATCTGGTTACGTATGAACCACATTTTCGACGTACGCGAAACCACAATGACACAGATTGCTGTAGGTGTCCCTTATACAGATAAATTAGGCAAGGAAACCTCTATTAAATCATTCTGGTTTTCTGCTTTTATGAAATCAAGAGTTAAGTACTGAGTAAAATACGCGGTCAGCTCTGCCCATAATCGAGATATTATTCCGTTTACAACATAAAATAATTGATCATTGATATCTGATCGTAGTATTATTAGTCCAAGGGAGGCAATCGTATTGGAATAACTGAAAATAGTTCTATAAGAAACAGTATTATTCTGAAGTAAATGTCACGCATCGCCGCTGGGTAAATAATGGCTACATCTTAAGACAAGATTGTTTTAACATGTTCCTTTTGCATTAAATTCAGCACGAGTCTTAGTTAACAAAAGATGTTTAAGCTCGGGAAAATGAGCTCGGATGGTACAAAGAGTACAGCTAAAAATAACTATGTAGCAACTGAATACCAACCGCCTAATCGGAGACCTCGGATTTTATAATAATCTTAATATTATTTCTAAAGCAACTACGTGACAGTAAGTACACCACCAGACTTCCAACATAAGGAACATTCAATATTTTGCATATCTGCCCGCTCATGCAAATATTTTCCGAATCAACGATTTTGAAGGTTAAGACCTTTTGAGTGATTATTTATGTTGATTCAAAAAGAATTGGCACATTATCTACCAGTCTTCACAATTCCCACTTCTCTAATCCATCCGAATTTTCTTGAATACGGTATTTAATCCGGAAATGCTCTTTACTTTACAGTATAATGGTTCTAATCACCATGTCTCATCTAAGGTCAGATCAATTTTGCACTCTGCAAGTACCTTAAGGAGTATCTGCAGAGCTTCTGTGACACCTGTTAGGTATAATAGGAAATGGATAACTAAAACTTCTGTATCGAACGTGCTCTTATGGTTCTTTGTTCGATAACATTAGTCAATGGAACCTGGTTGACAATATCGAGTTCGTTTAGCCCATTAATTTACCTGATGTAGATAGCATATTAAATGTAAGAAAGTACAAGGAGTCGAAACGATTGGGAACCAAGGATTTAGAAAGTATGTTTGTTATAAAAGACGTAGAAATTTCTTAATGAAGATAATAATAAGGCTAATACTACATGAATTAGTAGGAAAGATTGGTCTATAAATATATAATAACTTATACTCATTGGTCTTATATAGATCTAGTGCATCATATCACCATCTTCCTCTTCTGTTTTTATCAAGTGCTCATATAATACATAATTGATATATTCCCGGAGGGAAATCGTCAACTGAAGGTAGGCTTAAGTCGACTGTCTTATTGGACCTACTGTCTTCCTACACTCCTACATCTGGACATGCTCTTCGTGATTAAACAAAACTATCATATTGAAAAACTGACCGATTGCTAGTAACTGTGATCAACTGGATGATAGCATATTTTGACCGCTCATCATGACTTAAAGCACTTACGAAGCCCTTTAATCATTTTCCTCTTATTTGTAGCCAATTCCTTACTTTTATTCAATTGGGTGATGAGTGTATTGTCTGAAATTGTATAATAACCAATTTCAATCACCGACAATGTGTCGCAGTGAACAATACCAATGAATATCAGGAGAATTTCAATACCGGTTACTCTTGAAAGTGGTAAAGTCTCAAGCGTCCAGCCTAAATATCCACGAAATGACAGTATTTAGAGTCAAATCTCATTGTGAAGTAAGAATCAATCTGGAATTCTAAAAGAAGTTCAAAACGCTGGCATTATTCTTGTCTTATTGACAGATTTTGTCTGAAATCAGGCGAAAAGAGAAAAACGCAACTAGACAATGATATCACGCTTCAACGATTCGGTTTATTAAAATAATATCGGACGAATAGATGTCTCTCTTTTACTACAATGAACATTTCAATTCCATTTCCTATTTTCTGAAATAATCATCTAATCCGAGTTTTATTCTTTAATGTTTCAGTGTGATATAATACGATTTGAAACTGGAAGTAACATACTTCTCTTTTTAGCTTTCTTAAAGAATTTGACCTTTGTTTCAAAATGGGCGAGATACAGAAACGAATGGGTATTTATTTCGAGATTCAGTAACGTTAAAAAATATTAAAATTCATCATCAATGATTAAAACTAATTAGCTATCACAAAAGAAACAAAGGTAGGGCATAATTATGCTATTTTTATACCAAAAGGTTAAAACAATCTTATCTTCTTTTAGAAAGCATATTAGTCATAGTCAGTTTTACTTTTATCTAGAAAAAGGTAATATTAGCTTTCTAAGAGTATTGGAACCCACTGATATAATAATATATACTTCTGATATTTTAGAATTTAGGCTTTAAATTCATGTTTTGGTCTCTTGATACTCTGAATCTATAGGTAAAAGTTTGATCACTGTGTGTCATAAAAGTAATATTTGTGCTAGTAGGCCTAAGTACAATTAAAGTTTTCTGTATGCTTATTATGGTTCGACCAGCATTGATCTTGCAACAATCCACATTCTACATGTACAATACCTAAGATCTAACTTTCCAATGCGCTGATATATAGGGATGAATATACGCAAATATCTAGGGTGCGCTAATACAGTCGGATTTCAATTCATCTAGTTCCCACCCTGGGGATACCAACTAACACCTCAAGTATTTCCTAGACCATATCAGCATTCAGACCTCTTTCAAATGGCGACTTGCAGTTTACTCATGATAGGTGAATCTTATTCACGTGTGCCTTATTGTACGAAGAGTACAAGTAAGAGAGCCACACGACACCTTACACCAAAACACAATTTCTTAAAATTCCATGTTTTAAGGAGCAAATACAAATAGAACTTTCAATTAGCGTATCGAATAAATCTTTGATCTAAAGTTATCTTCGACATAGACAATTCAAGTAAAAGTGAAACGTTACGTTTCTAATCTTTAATTAAACTAAATCGTCGTTTAATTCATTGGGGACAATGTTGATAATGTCACCACGTATCCAATTTGACCTTTTAAATGAAATCCCCCAATTATTTATTTCCAATAAAGGAAGTTAAAATATCAAGAGGAAAGTCGACGAAAACTAATTATAGTCATAATTAGAGCAGATACATTCCTTAAACGGCTTAGATATTTTACGATGGTATCGAATTTATTTGAAATATACCTGAACTGTATGCACCGTTCGATCTAAGGTAATTGTGCCTTTTAGAGAAAGATACCTTAATCTTTGCAAATCATTATAATGTCATCTTTCACAAAGAAGACTTGGATCGAAATTTCAAAGTAAGGCCAATTTCAATCTAGGAATGAAGGACACGCTTCTACCAAGAGCATACAATAAGATCAACATGGACAAGTTCTATATGGAAATATTCAATTCTTATATTAATTTCAGATATTCAATATTTATTATTAATATTTATATAAATAGTTGTTACAGTAATTCCTATTGTGAAAAATCATTAATTTGAAGTAATTTGTACTTACAACCTGAACATTCCTTCTACATTAAACACCTAACAATGGCCCCTCGTATCAACTCGTTAACTCCTAATGCGACTGTCACTTGCTGTCATAGATGACAAAATGACTATAGAGGAGAAAATGGAATCTTCCTTCTCTGTTGTTTACTCCTAGTTTCGCTTCCTATCCTTTAAACATGATTAGTAATTTTACATCAGACACGTACAGATATCTTGAAGGAATACTAGAGTAGAAACGTGCGACACAAGATAAAATGCCTCGAGATCTAATGATTTAATCAGCATATAAAGAGTAGATCGTTGTGTTCGATCAACTGAATATCGATATATACTTTTCAATACTTTACTTTACTTCAATCAGTAACATGATTAAAGGGAAATGCCCTTCTAATAACGAGCATCACAAAACAAACCTGCATCTATTGATACGAAATGAAACCAAATGTTTTGCTAACAGAACGCAAGTATAGTGCCATTTTTGCTGTTTTGAATCCACAGGTGCGAGGTGATTTTATTTGATGTTCGTATCACCAATTGTTGGTAGATATTAGTTGTTGGTAAGAATTTTAAGCAGTAATTACCATTTGATAAGTTGATGACCAGTTGTTGATAATTATTAAGCATTATTGGAGCTTAAAATACCATTACTCTGAATTTTATTCGAATTAAATTATTTTGCGATAATTGTCAGTTTTTTTTTCTGGAATGACCGAACGTTGGATGGAATCGGAATGGTACAAACAGAAGAATAAGTAAGTGTCTTTCATACACATACATAGGCTAAAGAACCTCTTTTGATACGGTTTTTGTGGTTATTCTGCATGCATCTTATTTGATCTGTCAATTATTCATACATTCATACACTCTTAATTACCAATTTGATATGCTTATGCATTTATTTAGAATTGTTTAATGGCCAAGGTGTAAGTTATATATGATCAATTGTGTATACCCCAGAAGCTTTTCAAATCAATTGGAAACTGATACAAGTATTCTTGATAACAGAAACCTCGTGAGGCAGACCTATTTAAAACTTCACGAGAAGAATGCTATAATTACATCCGACATTTATCTTTAACTGAAACTACTTCAAAAGGTAGAATTCATAGTTTATACATGAATCAATGCCTACCAAATTAAACTGTATTTCAGAATTCCGTTCAAAGTATGAAGCTCATTGGAGGCAACTTCTTTTGCCATTGGGGTGCTATATACTGAATTGAAACTGCAGTTAATAGTTATCATTGGCCCAAGAGTTAACAAAAGGTTGACAATGTCAGTGGTTACGAGATGAAGTTACATATTAGGAGTTTTCAACCCTTTCTACTTGCCCTTTCAGGATCCTAATCGATTGTATTACCCCCCTAGATTAAGACAATATGATAATGACAACTTTAAATGTTTTCACCAGCGAAGCAGGCTCGAGGTACTGACATGGAAAAAGCGTTTCGTTGTTCAGATGAAACATTAAACCGAGACCCCGTGATCTTTCGACAGTTGCGTTCTCTCACTGAATACGACACGACGCTGTCCTTCACATGTCAAATATGGAAAGAAAAGTATTGTTTAAAACTCAATTTCTTTATATTCCATTGCTGGAATTCTGTCATTATTCTTCATCTACATGATATTATATCGCGGAAGTCCACATGATTGGTCCATTTCCAATTATAATTGGAATTAATCATAGCCTTTCTTCAAGCAGTTTTGGTAACCATGTATAAATTACATAATCCAAGAAAAATGTTACGAGTCACATGCTGTTATTAACTCAACATTCTTATTGATTTTATCACAATCACTCTTATTTCTTTTCTTTCAAATTTACATGCTAATAATTTATGTCACGGCCAACGGAGATAAAAGACTTGTACACAGAACATGTTTTACATTAAATGGGTCGTTGATATATTTACAGTCTAATAGTTTTAAGTTGTCTTTGTCATGCAATTTATTTACCAGTATAGAGCAGATTTCTAATGAATTGTATTTCAGATCAATGAAAAATAGCAAGATAACATACACATTTTACATTAATAGAGATTAAAGTATACTTTTACTGTTTGAAGATGAAATGAATGAGTTTTACGTCCAACTATGCTGCATTCTGCAATAATAAGATTTTTAAACATTTTTACAAATTGATGTACATTTTTAAATTTCGGTATTTTTTTTTTAATTTAATATTTAATTTTAATTTTGATATTCGACATAATATCACAATGCTTAATAGTAATAGAACTGCTTGGTGTACACTTGCGGTATATTCAGATCTGGATTACTCATTTGCTTTGTCAAAATAAACGTTATTGTTAAAAACAAACGATTTTAGGCATGATAAAATTTCGAATTTACTTTTTTTCTAAGGGTTTTTTCTATGATGTTGAATCTTTTATAAAGATTAATGTGACGACAGTATGATCATTTTATCTAAATTAATTGAATACCAAATGAGCTGAATACTCAATGGAAAGATAGCCTCAAGTCCGAATGTGTCACTTGATAGTAATCATACCTACTGATTCAATCTCAATACAATAATCAAGATATTCAGTCTAACATTGTAGGTATTTCACAGCTTTACTGCTTGATCTCGTACAATGAAACAAACTGTTTACATTTTCATATTTCTTACCTCATCCATGTTACATTGTAAAAGTATATATGTTTTAGGTTATTTATGTATTTTTATCCTTTTTTAATCTTGTATATAATTTGTAGTATAGTGGGGCCTGTTGAAAATTTTACTTTTGTCTAAATGTGTTGCCAAAATAAAGTTAATGTGCGCTTAATGATAGTTGTGTAATAAAAACAATCTTTCACTCGTGCTTACGTCATATGAAATTTATCACATAACCATCACCCCCCCCCAAAAGAGGCTGGCCCAGTTTTGACAACCCCCTCCCCATTTCAACTTTTTTTTTATCAATTTACACAGTGAAAGAATAGCCTGTGGCCCCCCTGGAAAACTTTGTGGCCCCTACAATGTCACCTCAACTAATATTTTCTAGAAACGCCACTGGTTCATAACAAAAAAGAACTAGATAAACACGTTCATGTGATAACTTAATTGAAACTTTTTTATCAAAGTTATTTTTGGAACAATTTCTTGTACTTTACTATTAATGTAAGCCGTCAACATCAAAGAATGCAATGTTTTTCTGTTAACATGGTGAATGAATGCGTGACAAAGTTATTATTTGCAATTACATAGTTACATATCGTTTTTATGAACCGGTGTTATGTTGACTGTGTGATAAATATAGATTTTGATTTTAGTCAGAGATGAGACCACTCGCCCTCGGGGGATTGCGACATGCACTGTAAAAAAAGTCCGTTTTTTTTTACAGAAATTTACTTGATATTTTCTGTTGATATACCTAAATTTCTGCTGATATACATACTTTCCTGTTGATTTACGGACTTTGTTCTTACATTAACAGAATGTTAGTTCCGCAATAAGGAAATATGTTATTTTACGTAAATTAATCTTTGTCGTATGTCATTTAAGAACAATTACGTTATTTGTCAGTAAATTTACGTAAATTCTGTGTTATTATCATTTTTTTCCAAACTTGGCTGTAGATAAGCGAAGTCTGCGCATGCGTGGTTATACTGTTTTTTTGACAGGAACTTTATGTTTCCTTACGGAAAATTATAACAGGATTGCTGTTAATTTACGGAAACTGTGATTTTGCGTTATGATAGTTTCGACCTGTTAATCAAAGTAGGTATGACGTCATCGGTAAAGACACGAGGTCAGTTTATCAGTTTATCGTCACGCCGCCATCTA